CACAAACTTCTCTGTGTCTTGATAAATAGAAACAGAATTTTATTTTTGTCTTATATCTTAAAGCTGGCAGGTAATGTGAATGTCACACTACTCTTTCCAGTTTGGTCACTTTCAGAGCAGAGCAAAAAAGCATCTCTGTAAATTTTTCATGTGATTTTCCTTCATCATAACCCGCAAAGCAAAACCTAACATCAGTTGCATCAATTTATTAAACATACATAAAGCAAAGGGTTTATTATGCAGAAATAATTTAGACATTTCTTTTATTTGGGAAATTTTTGGCTTTGGTTTGGACATGACCGCATTATTCAAAGATCTTTTGTTTCACAGGGGTAATAATTCCCACAGGAGGACTTGGTTAACTTGTTCAATAGCTTGTATTGATCCTAGTGTTTATTATGACTGGTCTCACCAAGCTTGACTGTGACAATGAACGACTGTGGTTTGTCTGCCAGCTGTGTTTATGTTGAGAGTGCAGAGCGACAGTAGATCTCACTGGGCCATCTCAGGTTTTGTTATTGCTGCTCTTTGTTATGTAAGTAAGGGAATCTGTGCTAGAGAAGATAAATTGTTATACAGTAAAGCTAATTTATTTTGTATTTATAATATTATGTAGGGAAATTTCAGCATCGGTAATTTTTTGCTACGCTTAGCAGATTGTGTTTTCATCAGTTTGTCAGCTGGTTTTGTTAGTCCCAGAAGAATGTGCGTATGTGAGTTGTGATGAAAGCTTTCTAATTCTTCTGCCTTTGACTGTAAAGCTACTGTTGACATATTTGAAATGAGTGAACCTGCGCTATCAACACATACCTCAACAAAACCCTGAAACAATGACACAAGCTTACAGCTTTTTCATCCGGATGGAGGCTGTGAGCGAATGAACATCAGAGTCAGCATATCACTATCATACTGACATGATTCTCAACACATATTTACATCAGCATTGGTTGAACTTTTGCTGGTTGGGATTTTTGGCCTTGACAGAATTCATAAGTGAAGTGTACGTTTCCTTATGTCTTTTCGCACTCTAAGCCTGTGAGCAAACCAAGCTTAAAAGGTCAAGTGTTTCATTTTTGCTATGTTAAATCATCCATCCACTTAACATCCACTTGATGGCTGATAGAAAATCTGGGTCTTGACGAAATAAAAAACAGTTTTAAAGGGATAGTTCACAGTGTATTACTTTCTTCTGCAGAACACAAAAGAAGATACACTGTTACAAAGTTGACCTAACTTAAAAAAAATACAATGACAACAGCAGCTGCAGCATAAATCAAGCCAGTAAAATGTAAAACAATGATCATTTTTTTATAAGTTGCCACATAATCTTTTCAAGCTGCAATGCATGCTGGGAACTTGCACAATAATAAAATTGTTTATTCAGAAGACTCAATATGGAAAGTTGGGAAAACATGTGGACACATTTTGAAAAAATACTAAGCAAGGTCAACACAACAATCTTTGTTAAAAACATGTTTAGATGGACAAGATAAAAACTTGTCCAGTTCACAAGAAAAAAAGAAACTGACTCCTTTTACTAAAAAATCTTTACTCAAGCTACTTTTTTTTTTTTGCAAGTTGGATTTTTTTTTACAGTGTTTTGTGCAGAAACAGAACTCTTTTTTGCCCAAATAACAAAAGTGAAAGGGGTCCAAAATATTAACATTCACTGTTTGGGACAACATGAGGGTGAACAAATGACATCAAAATTTTCATTTTTGAGTGAACTATCCCTTTAAATCACTGCTCTGTAGTTTCTTTGGTAATGTTATAAATTAAGTTGAGCTAAACTTGGCTGGAGACTAAACTTGGAGTGCTGTTGTGCCAGTATGAAGTAATCTAAGTGTTTATTTTCAGTTGTTTTTTTTAAAGGCGACGATGTCTTTTCTGTTGCTCTGTGTCTCTATTTATCCCTAATTTTGCCTGGCACTGCTCTCTATCAAGCCTGAAATCTTTCATACACAGTCTACGTCAGTATTGGTCTGTTAACAATTACTAAGCAGAAGGCTTGGGGGACTACTTGGCAGTTCATGTAAAGCTCCCTGATTGCATTACGCCCCTGCAGAACGGACATTAAATCAGATTTCTCCATGCAGATTATATCTCTCCTCCCACAGAGGATGGCTGGTATTACGCTGGCGCTGTGTGGCATAATACAGGATGTGTTTAGGTTTGTGTACCCAGGCAGCGAGGCAGTAGAGTTGGCACATACGCGCTGCTGGGTCCCACTGCCCCTAAAAGGAGGCCCAGAGTCTGGAATTTCTGATGCAGCCTTGAAAAGTTGCCAGGGTGCTCCAGCGAACACAGATGTCTGTGAGAAAACCTTGGTGTTTAAAATCTTTGCCATTTCGCAAATGTTTCCCTTGAGCTTTTTTCCCTGATTGCAGTAAATCCAATTGGACATTCAGATTAAGAATTTTTTGATTTCATTTGAATAAAATGGATGTTCCAATCCTAAAATATACACCATAGATTGAAGATAAGATGTGTTTACAGCTCCATCATCATTAAATTATGCAGATATGCCTGAATACTTACAAATTATGTGTAATGTCAGCCATCTATGTTAAAAATCCACTTGCTATTTTAGAGGTGCACCATGGGAATCCACTAATCAAGCTTTAACGTTTGTTTGTGATGTAAGTTTTTTTTTTTTACTAGCTTTATATTTATGGGACAAGGATGCTGGATGAGCAGGCTACTCTCTCTAAATTGGGAAATTGAGTTAGGGAGATATGCCTGAATACTTACAAATTATGTGTAATGTCAGCCATCTATGTTAAAAATCCACTTGCTATTTTAGAGGTGCACCATGGGAATCCACTAATCAAGCTTTAACGTTTGTTTGTGATGTAAGTTTTTTTTTTTTTTACTAGCTTTATATTTATGGGACAAGGATGCTGGATGAGCAGGCTACTCTCTCTAAATTGGATAATTGAGTTAGGGATCCATTAGAGTGGATGAATCTGGAAAGACTCAAGGCTTTTAACAAGATGGATTGGTGAAGCATGGGATCTCCCTGTGGTGATGGATGTCTCCATAAAGAGTAGTACACACCTGAGAATTGCATCATGGTATAGTTATGGACAGTGAGATCTTAAAATCTGAAACCAAATTGAAAATGTTGTTAGTATTTAACCCTGGTAATTAAAGGGGTAGTTCACCCAAAAATGAAATTTCTGTCATTAATTACTCACCCTTATGTCATTCCAAACCCGTAAGACCTTTGGAACACAAATTAAGATATTTTTGATGAAATCCGAGAGCTTTCTGACCCGCCATAGATAGCAACGAAACTGAAGCCCTGTTCACACTAGCAGCGACTTTTGTCGCTGCATGTCACCAGGGGCTGGCGATGAGGTTGCTAGTGGGCGTTCTACTGTTTGCCTTGACAGCGAATCAGGTTTCTTGCCTGCCAAGTACAAACATTTTGGAGGCAAAATACTAAATATAATATAAATCAAAATTAAATCCGTACATACAAACAAAAATGAATGAGAAACAGAGCCTACTTTCTTCCAACCTTTGGAACACAAATTAAGATATTTTTGATGAAATCCTAGAGCTTTCTGACCCGCCATAGATAGCAACGAAACTGAAGCCCTGTTCACACTAGCAGTGACTTTTGATTTTGACGGCGCTGAGAGCGGCAGCGCCTGAGCACAAAGTGCTCACATTCTCCCTCTTGTTCGCCGTTGTCCTTAACAGTTCTGTCTAAAGCCCCGTTCACACTAGCAGTGACTTTTGTCGCTGCATGTCACCAGGGGCTGGCGATGAGGTTGCTAGTGGGCGTTCTACTGTTTGCCTTGACAGCGAATCAGGTTTCTTGCCTGCTAAGTACAAACATTTTGGAGGCACAGTCTATACTAAATATAATATAAATCAAAATTAAATCCGTACATACAAACAAAAATGAATGAGAAACAGAGCCTACTTTCTTCCATTGCATATGTTTATCTACAGCACGAGAGGAGAATGATCACATGAGCTCTACTTCTTTCCTATTGGCTGTCGCTCCCAAAAGTCGCTCTTCATTTGCATAAAGTTGAAGGATTCTGAACTTTGCCGCGTCGCTGGACACGCCCCATCCGGTCGCCAACTGCCACTGACGCTCGTGTCGCCGGAAATCACCAGCTCTCCACTGAAATGAATGGGATTGTGTCGCTTTGCTATTGCGTGTCGCTTGTAGTGTGAACGGGGCTTGATTTATCTACAGCGCAAGAGGAGAACGATCACATGAGCTCTACCGTCTTCTTTCCTATTGGCTGTCGCTCCCGAAAGTCACTCTTCATTTGCATAAAGTTGAAGGATTCTGAACTTTGTCGCGTCGCTGGACACGCCCCATCCGGTCACCAACGGCAGTTGTCGCTCGTGTCGCCGGAAATCGCCAGCTCTCCATTGAAATGAATGGGATTGTGTCGCTTTGCTGTTGCGTGTCGCTTGTAGTGTGAACGGGGCTTGACACATTCAAGGCCCAAAAAGGTAGTAAGGACATAATTAAAATAGTCGCAATGCACATTCACGAGAGTACCATGCATGCATGTGGTGCTGCTGACGCATGAGCCGGACAGCAGTGATTCTCTGCATTATTCAGGAGTGAGACTAGATGCCTAAAGGCTGATATTGAGAGAGGAGAATCAGACCTAATAAAGACATGAGCTCTTGTGTATTGAGTTCAGAGCTGCAGGGCATGTTTGGATTTGCTGCACTCCACATCTTAATAAAAGAAACGAAAGCTCCTTGAAGGTTCAGACCTGGTGCCACCGTCCTATGCAATACACATTAGCAGTTCTTCCTGTTTTTAACCAGTTCGCATGAACAGGCTTTTCTTGACCTTCTTCCTTTCATTGTTCTGGCATTTTTGCTCATGCCTGGTATTACAAATGAGCCATTCTTATTTATGATGGCATGCATAAGCGAGGTCAACAGTGTGCTGTATGTGACATTGTGGATTGATTTCATGATAAATTACATCTTTGTGTCCGTGCTGTGTTCTATAGAGTGTACCAGCGGCAGGGAAGGCCTGAGAAGGCCCTCAGTCGATGTGAAAGAGCCTTGGAGCTGCTTCAGGAAGGAGCTCATCTCAGTCAGATCTGCTGTGTTTACAGAAACATGGCGGCTATTGAACAGGCACAGGGACATCTGGATAGAGCCATTGAACATCTCCTACAGGTAAACACCACAGGGATTATTCTTGTCCAGTCCTTCAGAGAATTACACTCTACTGAAATCATATTAAAACAGATGAACTAGATGAATAACCTAATGTAGAAGTGTCAAACCCATTTTTAACATCACCTTAATCCTGCTTTAATCATCAATATTGGGGTAAACAAGGAGGAAGCATATGTAGTTTAATAATTTCATCCATCAGAGTCCTTTAGATGGCACACACACTACATGGACAAAAGTATTGGGATACCTGATCATTACTATGGAGACATTTATATGGAGTTGGTTTCCCTTTTTGTGGCTTTAACAGCTTCTACCCTTCTGCAAAGGCTTTTCACAAGATTTTAGAGTGTTTCTGTGGGAATTGTTGCTCATTCATCCAGTAGAACATTTGTGAGGTCAGGCACTGATATGCCACTGGGACTTTTATGCACCATACACCTTTACCCCGCTCTGTTCCGCTTTGTGACTGAGTTGCTATATATAATGTTACAGAATATTCCTATTTCAAATAAATCAAATATCAAATAATAATATATGAATAAATGCTATTTGTGACGAGAGGGGAGGGGCCAAGAGCCGTGGGAACGGAGCGAGGCCGGTGGAGTAAATGTTAATGCATGACACCTGTGCCCCTCACCGGTCTCGAGTCCCACGGAGGAGCTCCGGAAGGATAAAAGGAGGAGTGATGACAGTGTTGGACGAGAGAGGACCAGGCCTGGACTTTATTTTGTGTTTTGGTTCTGTTTGTGCTTATATCTATTTTGTGTTTATTTTATTATTAAAGTTAGAAAAGCCAGGAAAAAAATGTATCATGGTTTCTGCAAAAAATATTAAGCAGTTATAACTGTTTTCAACATTGATAATAATAATAATAATAAGAAAAAATGTCTCTTGATCACCAAATTAATTTGTGATGATCTGGTGACACTGAAGACTGGAGTAATGCGGCTGCTGAAAATGTAGCTTTGCCACAGGAATAAACTAAAAATATATTAAAATGGTAAACAGTTATTTTAAATTGTAATAATAATATTTCACAATATTGCTGTTTTTACTGTATTTTCATTGATATAAATGCAGCCTTGGTCTGGGTTTTTTCAAAAACATTAAACAGTCTTAAGGACCTTGAACTTTGGAACAGTAGTGCATGAAATGAGTAATTAGGAAATATTAATCAAATGGCGATATTGACAAAAAAGAATCACTCACTGCTCTTGACTGGATGACAATAATAAGTTATCTGAAACCAAGCACCAATGTGAAGTTAGACCTAAAAAAAAAAGGATTTCTATAAATCATCACATACTGTAGTTGAGACTGTATTCCTCCACAAGCCATAGTTGCCCAGTGGTTGTGTTTTTGACATCCTCAGTCTAATGGTTTTTCAAACCTGGACTGCAGAGTTATTTAAAGCCAAGAACAATTGATAGTTCCCATGTTTCAGGGTGGGTGTGATATGTAATATATATCTATTCAAGTCTCTGTATCTCTCACTCCCTCTTCTGCAGGCTCATTCCATAGCTCTTAGTCAGGGTCCTGGGGGTCTGGAGGGGGCCCAGATCGCTCACAGCTTGGCTCTGACCTACTCTTTCACTTCAGAGCCTCATCACAACGGTGAGCGACTGCATTCACAATAGTCTGTCTGTATGGGGGATTTAATTAGGCCCCGAGCATCACACAGAAATAATGAGACGTGTTATGAAGTCAATATTAGAATAATAAAAAATTAACACACATGTATTATGAGCACAAGGCATTCTGTCATTTAGATGCCTTGCATCTGATCCAACATTTAGAGTTGTAATTGGAGTGAATTGTGTTTAGCAGGCTATACATAAGGAGAGCTTTGTGTTAGCTGCCCTGCATAACAAGTAGCAGTCAAGTCTTGAAGGTGACCCCCAGCTAATCAAATGAAAAATATGATGATGTGTTGGAGTAGCTCTTCACAGGGTAGTGGACTCATATTGTGTAAAAAGGCATTAGAGGGAACTAAAGAAATGTGATTATGTTGATCTCTTTTCCCGTTTCAATAGATTCAACAGCACGCTTTTTTGAGGAGAGTATAAGTGCATATAGAAGTGCACTAGGCCCACAGGACACACTCACCCTATCTGCTCAAGATGACTTCAGTCATTTCCTGCTACTCACAGGACAACAGGAGGTCAGCTTCAAACTGAGATCTGGATATGGTGTATATTATAGAATAGATGCGGATCTTAATATTTGAACTATATATACAGTTAAAGGTTTGGGCTCATTAAGATCTTTTAAGGAAATTAATACTTTTTTTCAGCAAGGATGCATTAAATTGATAAAAAAAAGTATCACGTTTCTACAAAAGTAAACAGCACAACTGTTTTCAATATTGATTAATAAGAATAGTTACTCGAGCATCAATCAGCATATCAAAATGACTTTTGACGGATCATGATAGTAACACTGAAGACTGGAGTAATGGCTGCTGAAAATTCAGCTTTGCTATCTCTGGAATAAATTTAATTCTACAATATATTCAAATAGAAAAGCTATTTTAAATTGTAATAATATTTCAAAATATTACTGATTTTACTGTATTAATCAGATAAATACAGCCTTGGTATGCATAAGTGACCATATGTAAAAGTTTAAGGATTGATCATTTAAAAAACCCTATTGAACAACTTGGAGGATACGTTTCATATCTATGATGATTATAATGATATATAGTTGGGGTTATACTCTGTTTTGTGTTTCAGAGATGTGCTGAGATCCAAAGAGAGTCTCTAGCCTATAAGAAGAACACGTTTGGTGAGCAGAGTGCAGAGGTGGCAGAAGCGCTGCAGCTGATTGGTGGAGTGGAGATGACACAGGGTCAGATGAGACACGCCCACAGGACCCTTAAGAAGGTGAATCAAATATAATGCATGATCACTATGCTGTAGGAGTTGGCTGTTAGCTGCTAATGTATATTTATTTATGCTTAAACATTGCTGGTATATTAAAGAAAATTCCTCTCTATTTTTAAATGCATGTTATTGTTGATCTTATTGTGAATGATTCATTCATGTTTTTTGACCTTGTAATTTTTAATCAAGATGCTATAACTTAACCTTCCAGTGAAAATGAGAGACTTCTCTTTGGTGATGTATGCAGGACTTCATTTAGTCTGCTTAAGTGCCATCCCTTTTTTTTATAATCGACTGCAAGCTCGAATTCAAATCTCTATCCAATCAACAATCGATGGATAGAACCAAGTTCCTTTTTCCTTCTTTAATCTGTACGTCACAATACAAAAAAACAAGATTTGTTGCTACTTCCATTACATCTCAACTTTAAATACACCAGTTTGCTGAATTGAAGTCTACATCTACATGGAATTCTTACGGTATAAAATAGAGTTGATCAAATACAGTTAATTAAATATTATATATTTTTTCGTCAGGATCCTTCCATGCACAATCGCTAGAGCCTGAGCAACTGCTTGCACAAAAAGAGATCTGAACAGCTATTTCGACCGAAGTCTCTGAGGACCTTATGTCCACAGAGCTATGCTCTAATCTTGGAGTGTAGAATGAATAATATTTCTCCTCAGAGGGGATGCTTTTTCTGATATAAAACGTTCCAAGGGATGTGCTCTTTGTCCTTCTGGATTCAGCCAGACATTTTCATTTTCGTTGGTACATTGCCGAATGCTGTTAAAAGGGCACTGAATCTAGTTAAAAGGACCTTCATGAGACCTTCCACTAGACCTTCATGAAGTAATATTCTAAATTGATATCTTCTAACTTATATAACATGTACATATAGAATAAACATGTTGCTTTGGACAGTATATTTGTTTTGGTAACTTGTTCTTTATTCAAAGCTTGACTATTTTTGGACCGGACAGCCCTTTTTTATCCCTCAATCTCCTCCTTTAGGAGTCACACCACACTCTGATTTGCAACGTTATTTATTCTCTTTTTGTGTCATTGCTCGTAGCAACTGATGCAGTAAGAAGATCTTGCTGCACTCCACATCTTAATAGAAGCTTAGGGTTATTAGGGAACATTATCTCTTTTATTTACATTCCAAACATCTTTTGTATGTCCTAAATATGCGAATGGCTTGTATTCTATTTTGATATGGTCACACTGAAACCCCCTCTGAGATAATATGATGACTGTTGACTCTTTGGAAACCTGTCCCCACTTGTCTATAAATGAGCACTGTTGCTATGTTTCTTTGTTGTCGTATCGAAGGGCTCCATTTCGGGGATTGTGAATCAGGGGTCCCATGTTCTGCACTTCCTCAGGCTACTAACCTTTCCCCGTTACCTCTGACAGATACGAGCAGCTCATATCATGTTCTTTCTCCTGTAATCATGACAGCAGCTGCAGCAGAGCAACACACTCCCAGTTTAGACTTTGGCCTAAAGCCAGGGGTTTGTGGTTAAAACAGGGATTTAAATAAGCAATAATAAAGTTAGATTTTATGTGTATTTTATGTTATGTTTGTTTTTTTGTACTAAAGGGAGTTTTGTGTGGGCTTTAGACGCAGTTCAGCTATTATAAAGTCCAGTTCCTTATAATAGACGCACACACTTTTGAGAAACGCTGTGACTGTTTTCCCATCGAAGTGGGCCCCATGACATCACTTTTGCCTACGGAAAGTGATGAAAACATGGACTGAGCCTTTTCAATCATCAAGGAAACTTTGAACAGTACTTTCCTTTGTCTTTTTTGGAAAGACAAAAATGTCATGTCGTCATTTCGAGTGTTTTTCTTCCAAACCGTTGCTGTTGTTGTTTTTAAGATGTCGTTGAGTGAATGAGAGATGGTTTATTTGAGGAAATGAAGTGGCTTGGCCAGGTATGCTGTAATATCTGTTTGCCAAAGGCACTTCTCTCTACTATGTTTGTGAAATCTGAGTCAGGCCGTCCACTACCTCTTGAGCCCCACACACAGCAGTAAAGCTTACTTGCTTAGATTTTCATTTTAAGAGTTACAAAATACATTTTTTTAGATATTTTAGTTTCATATTTAAAGGCAAAGTTTTTGACTGTATTGAAGCTTAGCCAGCTCTTTATTGTTCACCAAGCTTTTCAATCCTTTGAACATTAATTCTTTAATGTCTGTTACAGTCCAATGTTTGATTGCATTTTCTGTATTTGGCCATTTGGGTTGTTCATGGATCATGTGTCATCAACGTGTCATTTAGATAAAAAATGATACGAAGGTGTAAGTCAGAGGCAGACAGTAGTGAAGTATTTTTACTCTGTGGTAAAAGTACTTTTCAGGTGTCTGTACTTTATCAGAGTGTTTTTCTTTAGAAAACTTTACTTCACAACATTCCAAAGCATAATATTGTACTTTTTACTGCACTACGTTTCATATTAAATATAATTTAATACATAATTACTTTAGAAATCTATTACTTTCTTAATTTTACTCAAGTAAAAGTAATTCAAAGATTTACTTGAGTACAAGAAAGTACTACATTTTTAATGTTCTTAAGTATTAAAGGTAAAACAAACAACAACTTTTATTTATGAAATGAAGTGCAGTAAAAAGTATGACATTATGCTTTGGAATGTAGTGAAGTAAAGTTTTCCAAAGAAAAACACTGATAAACTACAGATACTTTTTACATTTACTTGAGTAAAGTAAAAATACTTCACTACTGTCCGCCTCTGGGGCCTCATTTATAAAACGTGTGTACGCACAGATTTGATCGTAGAGTGTGCGTATGCAAAAATCCACGGCAACGTTCATATTTATAAAAACGGTCTTTGACGTGGAAAAGAGCTTAGCGCCACGTCAGGGTCTGAGCAGACGTACGCACTTTTGTTTGCCCGAGTGCTGCAGATTTTTGAAATATAAGCCATTCTTGCCGCTTGTAAACGATTTGGACATTGTCAGGTGCTCTTTTATAAGTCAAGGACATTAATTAGACATTGTTTACAGGGCGGAGATCTGAAACTGTTCAGCTGCGCACAATTTCAAGATCATTGCAATTTATAGATTTCACATCTAAAAGAGAGGCGTACGCACGTTTTCTGTGCGTACGTTCGTTCTATGAATCACACGTACGCACTTTGAGAAATGATCGTAAAATCAAATTTAGGATTCTTTCTACGCAGTATTTTATAAATGAGGCCCCTGGTGTAAGTCCTGTAACTGGTCACTAGTCGTCAACTTTCTTTGTTTTTGCCTTCACTATTTTATTTTAAAATGGTCCTGCAGTTGACAGATTAACAACATAAAAGTACAACTATTCCTCATATGAAGCCTCATATAAAGTCTTAAAAGCTGCACAAATGTAAATTGTAATAATTATAATATATAATTATAATATAATTTACATAATCACATTTTTATTATTTATATTTATATCAGAAATAAATATTTACTACCTGTAAAACATTTGGAATAAAAAATAAATACAGGTCATTTTAAATTGTTTCACACAAAAATATTACATAAATATTACATCCAGCTTATATATACATGTATACATATATATATATATATATATATATATATATATATTAGGGTGTAACGGTACACAAATATGACGGTTCGGTACGTACCTCGGTTTTAACATCACGGTTCGGTATGATTTCGGTACAGCAGGGGGGAAAACTTTTTTTTTTTTAATGGTTTACTGAACAAGTTGCTCTTTCTTTAAATACATTCAGTTATAGTTTAAATGTTCTTAGTGATAAAAATCTACCTCAGCTTATGCTTAAAACTATAGGGAGC